CTTTCAGTTTTGGATCTATTCTTTGTTCGTTGGTACGTAAGATGTCGGGGAAAGAAGGTGCTTCGGGTGTCGAGGGTGGTTCTTCTGGCGCGAAGACCATTCAGAGTTTGAATATCCACTCTATGAAGATAGATGTGGAGAAATTTAATGGCACAAACAACTTTGGATTATGGAGATGCGAGGTTTTGGATGCGCTGAACGCGCAGAATTTGGAGGATACATTGGAGTTAGATGGCAAGCCAGATGAGATTGAAGAGAAGGTTTGGAAAAAGATGAATCGAACGGCGTGTGGTGTGATTAGGTCTTGTTTGACTCAAGATCTAAAATATGATGTGATGAATGAGACTTCTGCGAAGAAGATTTGGGAGATTCTCGAAAGCAAGTATTTGACCAAGAGTGTGGAAAATCGCTTGCATTTGAAGAGGAGACTTTATCGTTTCCAGTTGAAGAAGGGAACCTCCATTAGAGATCACATGAACCACTACACAAAGCTTCTTGCGGATTTGGCGAATGTGGATGTCAAGATTGAAGATGAGGACAAGGCGTTGCTGTTGTTGAGTTCCTTGCCCGACGAGGAATATGAGACCTTCGTTCTTACTCTGATTAATGGGAAGGCATCACTTTCGTATAGTGAGGTCACTGCTGCATTGGTGAATTATCAGCTTCGGAAGAAGGATAAGGAGAATTCGACTGAGTCGGTAGCAGAGGCGTTGGTCGCAAGAGGAAAGAATCCAAACCGGAAGAATTGGAAGTCACAGTCTAGAGTAGGGCATCCTACAATTGGAAAAGATCAGTGTGCTTGGTGCAAGGAGACTGGTCATTGGAAGAAAGACTGCCCAAAGCTCGACGAATGGATGAAGAATAAGCAGAAGGGAAAAGGGAAGCAACCATCATCAGAAGCAAACATCGTATCGGATGGTAATAATTCTGACTCTTCTATTTATTCGCTTTCTATCAGTCCTACAGATAGCTATTCGGAGGAATCTGAATGGATGTTGGATAGTGGTGCGACCTATCATGTGTGCCCTAGAAGGGAATGGTTCTCCAGTTTTGAGAAGCTGGTGGATAGTGGTGTGGTGTACATGGCTGATAACCGTGCATGCCAGATCCTTGGGATAGGAAGAATTCGCATAAAGATGTTTGACGGGACTGTTAGAGAGTTAAACGATGTGAGATATGTTCCTTCTTTGAGGAAGAACTTGATCTCGATTGGAGCTTTGGTTGGAGAGGGTCTGAAGGTTCGTGTTGAGGACATGGTTCTCGAGATTGCGAGAGACTCTCGTATTTTGATGAAGGGCGTCAGGAGAAATAACCTGTATTACTTGACTGGAGGTATAGTGGCAGGTGGAGAGCTGACGACTTCTGTTGATTCGACTAGACTGCGGCATTTGGGGCTTGGCCATTCCAGTATTGATTCCTCGCATAGATTGAAAGAGGGTGCAAAGACCTGCAGTTTGAAGTCCAGTGAACATGTTGATGTGAGCAAGAAGACCGAGGTGAAGTGTGGCACCTCTATTCACCGTGCTAAGGGTCGTTCTGGAGGAGTTCACGTGGATGTTTGGGGGCCTTCCAAGGGGGCATCATTGGGAGGTAATAGGCGTTTGGTTTCCTTTGTTGGTGGCTGTTCTAGGCGTGTTTGGGTTGCAACCAAATCCCCTTTGGAGAAAGTCCTAGTAGTTTCCAACAGATTGAAGAAGTGTGTGACAGACAGAAAGGTGAAGGTACTCCATTCTGGTGGGAGGTACAAGATGGACCTATTTCTGTATTAGAGCCGAGCTCACGGTATTTCGAGACACTTCGTTGTTCTCCTTTTATTCTTCCTCCTCCTATCACATTCTGTTCCCTCTGCAGTGACCATAAACTCATCTTCTGACTTCAGTGGACCTCTTCCTTTTCATCTTGAAACTGGGTCAATGTTTAGTTTGTCTCGTTGCTTTCATTTAAACATTTATTTGCTTTCAACTAATTTTTAGTGCTGTCATTAAAAATTTACAGGTACATAAATGTTGATGGTGTGAATGATGTGGAGCTGTTCTATTACTTTATACAGTCAGAGCAACCCGATAGAGGACCCTGTTGTTGTTTGGCTCACTGGAGTCCCTGGTTGCTCAGCACTACGCAGTCTGGCATTTGAAATTGGTAACTGTTATCTTTTCTCTGGCATTTGAAATTTGCATACTTGGTCGAAACAAATGTGCTTGATCAGTGGGCTCGGCTGTAAGGTCGGGTTAATTGCACGTAGACCCCCCCCCTCTTAGTATTGCAGTTTTGAAGTTAACATTCATGTGTGTGAAGACATGTGGGGACCACCCACGTTTTGTTTGGAACGAACTCCAAGTGTGAACACGTGAATGAAGGTGTGGGAGGAAGTTTGGAAACCAGCGGTTTAAAGGGGATTGTCCAGCGGTTGCATGAAGGCCCACCCGATTGATTGAGACAAGCAGCTATATATTCGGTTCCTAGGGTTTCGAAGTGCGTGCGAAAGGGGGAGGCTTCTATTTGCGGCTGCAGAGAGCGAAGGCAGAGGGGAATAATTGGCGGCTTTGTTTCTTGGAGAAAACGCAGCAAAGAAAGAGAGAGAGAGAGGTGGCTGTCTCGGGTTTTGTGAAGAGAGAAAAAGTATTTGAAGGCTGACCTTTTCTTGTGAAGAAAAGCAATGAGCCTATTTGAGGGTTTAGATTGTGAGAGTTGTAAACCCATTGTATTCTTTTTCTCTATAATAGTAGACCCCCCCTCCTTGCCCCGTGGACGTAGGCAGTTTGCCGAACCACGTAAAAATTGATTGTTTGAGTTTGTGGCCATTGTAATAGTTTTTAGGATCCCTCGACGCGCAGTCCTAGAGCTGACGAGAGGAAGAGCAAATATCCCACTTTGATGGGATATTAGGCTTTCAGATTCGTGTTCCCTTTGAGAAACAAGAATTCTTATCGATCTTTCTCTCTTATTGTGCACCAGAAACTCTGCCGAAATTTCCGCTGCGCACAACAGAGGCATCATTCACTTTGGATTGTAGTGTCTTCGGTTGGAGCCGCCGTTAGCTACCGGCTGATTTCAGAGCCAATCACAAGTAAGTGCAAACGTACACGATTTATTGAAGATCATACAGAGCCTCAAAAAAACAAAAAAACAAAAAAAAAGGTGGGGGGAATTTTGCTCGCGCCCGTTGTAAAGTCAGGAACAATGGAATCAAATGTTGGGTTTGAAAAGAAATTCCAACAATTATCGTTTGCTTGTAGAAATAAAGTGGTAAAGTTCAATGGAGATTCACGTGTCCAGCTCGTGATTGATTTTGTATTCAAAGTGTGATAATATTTGTTAATGGGTTGTTAATTTCTGAAATTTTTTTAGTTTTCTTGAAGTTGTTAGGACCCACCCTCCAATTAGATTTTGGGGGGAGAATAAGGACAAAAATTCTATTCCCATAAAAAAGGTAGCTGGGCCCTATTTTTTTCGTAAATTTCAAGGATACAATAACATGTAACAAAATTCGGATGCCCATGAAGCGCATTTTAGTTATTTCTAGACTAGAGGTGGGTCCTACCATAATCCAAGAATACAATAACGCATATGCATTTTAGTTATTTCTAAACCGTGTCTTGAGGTGTTTGGTTTCGATTCTCATCTACGTCAAAGATGCCATCATAAAAAAAAAGAGGTGGGGGTCCACAATAAAAGGTTAAAGTTTAGGGGATTTTCTAGAGCAGCCGAAGTCCAAGGGGTGATGTGAAGTTAGCCTTCTCTCTTATGTAGGGTTATTTGCACTTAATTACCCTAAAGTACACAACAATTTTGTTGGGGGAAAAACAGACCTAATATAGAGTTGATGAGCCTTAAACAGAAGCTGGAAATTAATTTTTAATCCAAAAGTTATAAGCGATAAATGTTAACATAAACTCCTATGTAAACTCATCATTCTTTCTTATCTTATCCGATGTGGAATTATACTAACATATTAATCACCTCACCAACCTCCCCTTAGTTTGTGATTATAGTTCAATTTAACTATAATTCAATTTTTAATGGAATTCGCTTACTTCTGCACCACTTCGCGCGTAAGCTAACCAATTCACTAACTTTTGCGCCACTTCAGTTGTGGGCTAACCAGACTATGCATTCAGTAAATGGCTATCAAACATCCCACCACTTCACTCGGTGGTTAACCAGAGTATATCACTCCTACGAGCATCTACGGACCTTAACTCTGATACCATTATTGGGGAAGAATCGGACGCAAACTTTTACACCACTTCACTCGTCGGCTAATCAATGCACTAACTCTTACACTACTTCACTCATGGGTTAACAAGAGTATGCATTTAGCACATGACTATCATATATCCCACTCCTTCACTCAACAGTTGACCAGATTATGTCGCTCCTACAGGCATCTGTGGACCTTAGCTCGGATACCACTTCACTCATGGGAGAAATCGGGTACTAATGTTTGCACCACTTTACTCGTGGGCTAACCATTTTCACTAACTCTTACACCACTTCACTCATGGGTTAGCCAGACTATGCATTCAACACATGGCTATCAAACACCCCCCCACTTCACTCGGTGGTTAACCAGACTACTATATCACTCCTACGGGCATCCATGGACCTTAGCTCGGATACCATTTGTTGTGTGGAGAAATCATGCCCAATTCAGAGTTGATGAGCCCAAAAAGAAGTTAGGAACCAATTTTATGACCCAAAAACTAAAGCTGTTAAATTTTGACTCAAGCTACCGTTTAAACTCATCATTTTTCTTATCTTATCCGACGTGGGACTATACTCACGTATTAAACACCTCAACATATTAAATTTTTTTCTAAGGCGTTATACGTCGCTCATAAAAATCTACGGTTTCGCATAAAGTGCTATACTTTTACTAAGCTTTGGCGGATTCTAGGGACTCGCTCCACGATTTTAGGACCTAGATAGGGGAGAAGCACGTCATAGCATGTTAAAATTCATAAACAATACGAAAAATGGGTGGGTTTTCTAGAAAGTCTCGATAAGACTTCTGAGTTAAAAGGCTAAAGCCCCGAATAGAAAGCCCACGCGTGCCGTCCCAGGACTCAGCTTGCTTCCCTCACTACTCTCTCAGCGATGGCTCCTCCTCTCCTCCTCCTCCTCCTCCTTTTCCCCCCTCTGCTCCTCTCCTCATCTCCTGCTCTCTCTGCGGTCACCGTAACCCATCTCCCTGGCTTTAACGGCCCTCTCCCCTTCCGTCTTGAAACTGGGTCGGTGCTTATTGCTTTTTTTTTAAACCTTTATTTAGCCATTTACTGCTTTTTTCCCCCACCCTCCTTCTTGATTGATTAACTGGTTCTTGGTGCTGTGAACTGAATTTTTTTTTTTAATAGGTATGTAAGTGTTGATGAGGTGAACGGTGTGGAGCTCTTCTATTATCTTATAGAGTCGGAGAGGGACCCTAAAGCTGACCCTCTCATACTCTGGCTCAATGGGGGCCCCGGTTGCTCAGCCTTCAGCGGTCTCGCCTTCGAAATTGGTACATACTCTAAGATGTCCCTATTATTCTGATGTTAGGGCGCGGTTGGTTGCCTCTTTTACAGGGGGGAATGGGTTGAAAGCCCGTCAAAACTGACACTTTTGGCAGGCTTTCTATTTCCCCCTTATGCAAACAAACAGCCCCTTAGCTTAGAGTAATAAATAAATAGGCTAAATAGCAATTAAATACCCTATTGTTTCACATCCCTAACCACCCTCGGTTGTACTTCGTAGCATTCATCGCCCGAAAGTTTTCATGTGATATTCGTATGTTAATCTTAGAGCTTTTTTGCCGTTTATACTGATTAAATTACTGTTAGGCCTACCCTCGGTTGTACCCTCGGTTGTATCCCATACTAACCATGGCTCTCCTGAACCTGTCAAACCATGCTCGAGGGGACTGTTTTAGTCCATATAGAGACTTCTTCAGCCTGCAGACCTTACTCACTGTCTGTCCTGTGCCACATCCAGGTGGTATCTCCATATACACCTCTTCCACTAGATCTCCATGAAGAAACGCATTCTTCACATCCAGTTGGTGTAGTTGCCATCCACCATTTGTTGCCAGAGAAATCAACGTCCGAACAGTACTTATCTTCGTCACTGGTGCAAAAATCTCATCGTAGTCAATGCCATATGTCTGGCTGTACCCTTTTGCCACCAGTCGTGCCTTATATCGTTCAACCTTCCCTTCTGGGTTCTGCTTCACAGTAAACACCCACTTGCATCCTACTGCTTTTTTCCCTGCTGGCAGTGTCGCTAACTCCCACGTGTGGTTCTTCTCAAGAGCCCCCAGCTTCTCATGCATAGCAGCCTTCCACTTTGGGTCCTTCTTAGCATCCTGCCAGTTGTTAGATATAATAACAGAATCTAATGATGCAATGAATACTCCGTGTGAAGGGGATATGTGAGAGTAGGAAACAAATTAATCTAGATCCCAACCATATCTCTTAGGAGGATTTCCCGCATTACTGCGAGTAGTCCTCCTTTCTGGCATTGATGCCGGAAGAAGGGTAGGAGTAGGAATGGTATTACCTACAGTGGAGGATGGTGTAGGTGTCTTAGGAGTTGGAACAGAGCTGGACGAGGGACTAGGCACTGGTACTGTTACTGTAGGCACATCTGGCTCCTTCCCCCTCCTACTGTATGTAAGCAACTCCCCCTGAGCTGTAGGCCTAACACCCCTTGTCTCCTCCTCCTCCCCTTCGTCTTCATCCTCCTTCTCTACTGAGTACGGGATCGAAATTGAGATTGACCCCCTTGAGCTCTCATCATTCTCTCCCTCTTGCCTCATACCTCCAGTATTGGGCAAGTCGCCAAAAGGAGAAGTAACCCCTACTGTGTAGTACGGCTCGAGCTCCCGAAACCGCACATCCATGCTGATAAATAGCCTTTTTTCCACCGGGCTCCAGCAGACATACCCTTTCTGGGTGCCATTGTAGCCCACGAATATACACTTTACAGCCCTAGGGTCTAGCTTCCCAACCGATGGTCTGTTGTCCTTCACAAAGCACACACAGCCAAATACCTTCAATGGTAGGGCCCCCCCGTTATCTCCCTTCAGTGTTTCACGAGGAGACTTCCACTCCAACACACTCGAAGGCATCCAGTTGATTAAGTAAGCAGCAGTCAAGACTGCTTGTCCCCACAACACCTTTGGGACATTCATCGCCATCATTATACTCCTAGCAACTTCTAAGAGATGTTTGTTTTTCCTCTCTGCTATCCCATTCTGAGCTGGGGTGTATGGGCATGTAGTCTGGTGTAGAATCCCCTGAGCTGACAGATACTCCCCAAGTGCTCTGTTGATATACTCTGTCCCATTATCCGACCTCAACACTTTTACTGCTGCACAATACTGAGTCTGGATGTGTTTATGAAAATATTTGAAACAGCCAACTACATCATTTTGTTTTTCATAAGATACACCCAAGTGACTCTAGAGAAGCAATCAATAAACGTTACAAAAAACTTGCATCCATTTGTAGAATTTACTGGGCAAGGTCCCCATACATCAGAGTGTATTACTTCAAACTTACAAAAACTCTTACTACCCGAACTAACATAAGAGCTTCTAGTCAGCTTCCCAAACTCACAAGCATCACACTGTAACTTTTGTTTATTTACTTTTTCAAACAGAGTTGGATACATTTTACCCAAAATGCCAAATGACGGATGTCCCATTCGCTGATGGTAAAGCATCAACTCATCTTCTGCACAGACTTTAGCTCCTCCTGTTCCCGTCTTCTCCACCACAGAAGTCAGCGCTGAGTCCATCCCTTCGCGGTCCAAGTACCACAGCCCGCTACGCCATGTCCCAGTCCCAAGTTTTCGCCCTGTCCCTTTCTCCTGAAAGATCACCTTGGGAATGTCAAAAGAAACAATACAATTTAGTTGGAGGATAATGGCACTAATGGATAACAGGCTAACAGGAAATGAAGGAGCATGCAGAACATTTGATAGAGTTATAAAACCTGTACAACTAACAGTGCCCTTACCAACCACATCCTGTGCTGTACCATCAGCGATCTGAATGCTCTCTGCTTCTGCTAAGTGAGTATAAGATAAGAACTCACTGGCATTACCTGTCACATGCCTGGATGCTCCAGAATCCATTATCCAGGCGGTGGATCTTCCCTCGTTTGGGTGTGCACGAAGGGCGTAATTGGCATAATCCCCTCCAGTGAAAGTAGTAGATGAGGTAGATGACCCCTCAGACACATCACCTACTGCTCTCTGCTTCCTCCTCAGTGCTGTCAAGAGTGCCCGATCCTCATCAGTGAAGATCATCTCAGCTTCTTCTTCCCTTTCTGCCACTGTCAAGTTTGCCCGGTAGCCTCCTCTTCCACCTCGCCTGCCTCCACGGCCACGGCCTCCAGTCGGACCACGTTCACCCCAGTTCCTCTGCCTAGGTGGCTTAGGGCACATCTGTCTCAGATGCCCTACCTCTCCGTAGTTGAAGCACTGCCTAATCTCCCATCGGAATCCAATGTTATCCGTGTTGGATACCACCAATGCAGACTTCTCACCTGTAAGTCCACCTGTCCCAGCCTGTAGCCTGATACGGCTCTCCTCCTGTATCATGGCCGAGACTGCCTCTTCCAGTGGTGGGATCTTCGTCTGAGTTAGTAGCAACGCCGTCCTCTGCTCATACGCTGGAGCCAAGCCTCGGAGAAACAACATGATTCTCTTCTGCAAAGAGGCCTCACGTTCCTTGCACTCCGGGTCCTTGCAGCTCGCTAGGGGCGAGAAGTGATCGTGATCGAGCCACAAGCGCTCCAGCTCTGTGGCGTACTCCTGTATAGTACTCTCTCCTTGGACTGTAGTGCTGATATCCTTCTCGATCTGGAATACCCTCAGGTTATTCCCCACCCCATTGTAGGTCTTCCTCAGCTTCTCCCAGACATCCTGCACCCTCCCAAGACCATCCACTGTGACAGCAATTGGCTGGACTACAGAATTCAGAAGTCAGATGTACACCAACATATGAGTGGACTTCTGTTTGCGTCAGGAACAAGTTCTGTTGTAGAATTCATTATAACTGTTTATCGGTTACAATGAATGCAAAAGAGTAAGCTTCGTACTTTGTAAAACTACTCTTTACAATAAAAATCAAATTACAAGCTCCTTAGAAACAAACGCAGGATCGTTGTTTGGATCGCTGTTTGCGTGGGATCTTTGCCTGTGCCGGGGGTGCGTTAGCCCGTGGACCACCGATTCACAGATTCTGATTGAATCGTGAAGGTTTTGGGGATTCTTCCTTCGTTTATCGAAGTAAGAATTTGAAGCGAATATCTTATCGATGTAAGATGTTCACTCTTCTAAAGATCAAGTCAGAGCTTAGATCTCTAGGAATCGCCAAAAGCTTCTTGAGGATGTTTGTGAAGAAGGAAGACTTTCTCTCTTGCTCTAATTCATCAAAAGCTCAAGTCTCTTTGCTTACTTGCTCCCCCCAATCTGCCTTTTTCTCAATGATGACCCTAGGAGGGTATTTATAGTCTTCTTGGATGATAACTGGAGAAAATAACCGATCAATAACTATCCCTTTGGGCACGGCTGCCATAGGTGGTGCGGCTGAAGAGATTCCTTTGGCGCGGCGGTCGTTGCTGGCGCGGTCAAAGGAGTGGTTCCCCCCTGTTTTGTAACCGCCATTCCACGACTTTTAACTCCTTAAATGTCACGATTTTCGTGGGTAGTGGGCATGATTTTCGCTTGTAACTGCTTCTCCCACGTTCATAAGTAACCCCCAGCAGTTAATAAGCCATGTGGGCCTCACAAAACTCGAGAAAACTGTCAAAAATGACGTGTTCAGCTTCTCAGTGACCGCGGTAGTGTACAGTGTCGCGCATTGTCGCGGCAATTACCACTACCGCGCACCTTCCGGGTATTTTTGCTCTAACTTCCTCATCCGATGTCGGAATGAGGTGATCCAAGATGCGTTGGAAAGCTATCGAAGAGATCTATAACTTTTGTCTTTTGATCTTCTTCAGATTTGGATCATATCATGGCTTAAATGTGCAATACATTTCCGCGACAGTCGCTGCTGACGCGCACCTCCGAGACCGTTCGCGCTGTCTCGGGTATTTTGGCTCTAACTTCCTCGTCCGATGTCGGAATAAGGTGATCCAAGATGCGTTGGAAAGCTAACGAAGAGATCTACAACTTCCCATTAGCGTTTCACTCTGTTTGTTTGCGTGTCACTTTCCACTGCCGCGCCTATGCGCGTCAGTGTACATTGCCGCGCATATCCGAGACAGTTTACGACCTCTTGGGTATTTTGGTTCTAACTTCCTCGTCCGATGTCGGAATAAGGTGATCCAAGATGCGTTGGAAAGCTAACGAAGAGATCTATAACTTCCCATTAGCGCTTCACTCTGTTTGTTTGCGCGTCACTTTCCACTGCCGCGCCTATGCGCGTCAGTGTACATTGCCGCGCATCTCCGAGGCAGTTTACGACCTCTCGGGTATTTTGGCTCTAACTTCCTCGTCCGATGTCGGAAT